GGGCTGCCGGAGGGGGGCGGGCCCCGGCCCAGGACCAAGGTGTCCTGTCTCCACACCGAGCGAGAGAGGTCTGGCTTCGGGCCTGAGCCGGGGACAGACGGACAGGCTGAGCATGAAGCAGCTGGCCTCGGAGTGGAGACGGAGCGGCCCAGCCAAAAGACGGAGCCAGAGAGGTCCAGCCTCCGGACACATCCAGAAAGGCGCAGCCACTGGTCAGAGCTGGAGACAGCCGGTCCCTGGACGGAGACTGGGACAGATGGATTTTCGGCTGATCCACGCAGGTCCGACCTCCAGTCTCAGCCAGAGAGTGCCAGCCTCTGGACGCAGCCCGGCGTTGATGGACACTGGACAGAGCTAGAAATACATGGGTCACGGACCCAAACAGAGAAGGCCAAGCTCTGGGCTAATAACCTCTGGACCCACCAGAAGAGGTCCGGCCTCCGGACTCAGTCAGAGGGGGCCTGTCCCTCAACAGAGCCAAATGCTGATGGCTCCTGGAAGAAATTGTACATTGATGGCTCCAGGACACAACAGTATACTGAAGGCCCTGGGAGAAAGCCTCAAACTGGTGGCTCCTGGACACAGCCTGGCACTGATGGTGCACAGACACAAGCCACTCATGGACCCCAGACAGAGCCTGGGATAGACTGCCTTTTGGGGAAGCCCAGCCAAGATGGCCCATTAGCGGAATCAGAACTTGGGGAGTTGGTGACTCACCTGTACTCTCACCTGGAGTTTAGCCCCCTGACCCCTGTGCCCTGCCTCATCATCACTCCTGAAACCCCAGAGCCTGAGGCTCAACCAGTAGGACTCCCCTCCCGGGCTGAGGTGGGCAGTGGCGGCTTTTCCTCTGCCTCCTCTTTCGACGAGTCTGAGGATGACGTGGTTGCCGGGGGTGGAGGTGCCAGCGACCCTGAGGACAGGTCTGGGGTGAGTGGGACCCATCCTGTCCTTAAGCCACATCCCCCCAACCCTTTCTCCCCCTGCCTTTGCTTTGAGAAGTTCTCTAGCACCTACCAGCAGTTCATCTCCAGGCACCTCTTCCATCTGCTGACCTTCCTCCCTATGGCAGCTGGGTTACTAACTCACTCCGGGCAGGACACCCTCCTAATCCTTTCTCCCTCACTCGCTGCCTCCAGTCCTGGAGTCTAAAAGGGATGACTACTGGCTGACTTCATGCCACCCAGGACCCCCTGAAATGGTGTGATCGTGTGAGTCTGTGGGTGTAGACACACATTTTTACAGCAAGGGTCTATGGCTTCTCTCGGATCTTCTGAAGAGTGTATCTGTGACCCCAAAATGTGAAGAGCAGTTGTATAGAGGGACAGGAAAAGTATACTTTCTACCCCAAAGATGACTGACTACTGGCTGACTTCATGCCACCCAGGACCCCCTGAAATGGTGTGATCGTGTGAGTCTGTGGGTGTAGACACACATTTTTACAGCAAGGGTCTATGGCTTCTCTCGGATCTTCTGGAGAGTGTATCTGTGACCCCAAAATGTGAAGAGCAGTTGTATAGAGGGACAGGAAAAGTATACTTTCTACCCCAAATTTCTTAGTCTGGGGCCTTTGGCTGCCTTAAGGGGTCATGAACCTTCACCACCCTTAGCCCATTCACTTCTGTAGAGAGTGAGCCCCAGCTCTTTTCAGATTCACAAAGGGCTGTGTGCACCCAAAATGCTAAGGGACCCCCAGCCTAGCCAGGTACCCTCCCGTCTCCCCATTGTCCTCCAGCTCCCCAGAGGGCCCCCAGCAGGCTTGTTTACATCCTCCACCCT